AGAGAGAGAGAGAGAGAGAGAAGACCGTCCTTTCACAGTCTGGGCTACATGATGTGAGGATACAGTCTGATAGCCACTGAGACTGGATCTCAACCCTTTGCAGCTACAGAGATCTCCAGGGAGTATATTACAATGTGATGCTCCACAAATTGATCCACACCTGCAACAATGTAAATGAGAGTGACTAAGTCATTTGTTTCAAAGTCAGTGACAAAAACATGTGCTTAATATAGATTTATTAGGGCCTTTAGTGCAATATGGGAATCACCAGACCTGCTTTCTGTAACACTCTGAGATATGGCATGATTAACGAGGGTGTCAAATAGGTTTGCAGATTCAAATCCAATAATGTACATGCATGTAGTCACAGTGAACGTAGCTGTATTTTGTGCATGTGTGAAAGAGAGAGAGAGAGATACAAGGGAAAAGGTGACCCTGATCTGCCAATAATAGAATTATAATAAATAATAACAGAGTAAGTACTGAACATTTGAGTACTCACCAATACCAAGTACTTAATAATACTGCAATCTTTTGACCATAAAAATTACAATTACCATAAAAGTGCAGTGAGTATTATAAGATTCACTTTGTGATTTCATTTTGAAGAATATATCTAACAGGAGCCTGTGCATGGTAACCTTTCTGTGATAAGAAAGAGAGCGCTGTCACACTCCAAACAAATACAACATTTGACTGAATCCCTACCACCCAACATACTGTGTAATACTGTGGTTTTTGGGTACTAAAGGGTGGTAGCAGGTGCCACCATAAAAATGGATTGTTTTTCATTTTCTGGTACAATATTCTTTTATTTTAAATAACAGTAATACTTTTTAATTGCTTGAAGGCCCCAGCCCACTCTGCTGGAATGGAGTAAAAGAGTTCATGTTGAAATGCAGTTCATTTATCATGATATTGAACATTTTATTGGTATCTGTATTGACTACCAAATGTTTTCTACTGCGACATCCCTATTACAGCTGTCCAACTATGACTAAGCTTTTCCTAAATAAAACAAGGCTTTCTTCATGCCAGAACCAACCCAGCCATCTACATCCAAGTCACAAGGCCATCTTTATTTTTGTCACAATGTTCTCCTTTAGTTTTTTTTTTTTTATATATAT